AAGTTATTTGAGGGGTATCAGTATCTTGGGGAAGTCATTTAAATTCTTTGTGTCCTAGTTGTCCTCATCTTTTTGTAAAATGATGTTTATACCACTTATTCTGTAGTGTTATGAATTTGGTGGAAGTAGCTTGGAGAGATTAGAACCTTTTAGATGAAAATGAAATGAGGCAAAATGCTGTATATCATTCACAGACCTGAGGTGCCTTGACTACTGGAGACCCAATTGGGACTCTCAATTCTCCTTGTCATTATTAACACCCTGTAATTCTTTGCAACCATAATATGCAAGTTGTTGAGGCATAGAAATATAAACATGAAGTTCCTGACATACAACAAGTCATTAATAAATGGTAGCTATTAAGATTTTTATTATCAATTATTGAATTACAATGAAGAGGTAGCAGGTACAAAATATCAAGATTTATTTTGTAAGACATGCATATTAATTCATTCTATGTCCAAGGAAAAGCTAACATAGTGTTGGGCAGTCCTCCTAAGAAACCAAATGCGCAAGTGGCTGAGGCTAATTCTGAAACTTTCTCTTCATACACACTTTGAGCAAATCTGGATAGGTACCTCTTTTCCCTTTAGAAGTCTGCTAAGTCCCCACCATCTGTGGTGGCAGCAATTCTAATAGACTACTGGATCTCCAAATTACCTTTGCATTCTAAAGATTATAATGCAATAATTTCCATCACTTTTGAGAATAAGACTCTCATGTTAAGTAATTTTCCCCCAAAGAATTAATTATAATAATAGTTCTATTTTTATAGCATTGATTGAGAAAATGCATGTTAAAAAATTAGCATCAGTAAGAAATTAGAGAATGCTCTTAAATTTTTTTGTAAGAAAACATTTTTTAAAAAAGATTTATTTATTTTTGCATACAGAACAGGGGTACAGGCCAGAGGTGCAGGGGCGGTGAGAGGATTCACCAGAGAAAGAGTGGAGACCAGAGCATGCCAAATGATGAAGTACACTGCTGAGGGGAGCAGCGGCCAGATAGGAGAGGTCTGCTGCACCATGTGAGTCACCTCTGGGACAGGGATCGAACTTATGCTGAAGTGGCTTTAGCTTATTAGTGTTGTGCTTATTAGTGTTGTGCTTTAAGCCCGAAAACATTTTTTTTTAATACAAAATCCACAAGGTACAAAAGGGACTACCAAAAAAAGCATCCTTTTTGCAGCCCACTCCTCAGGTATCTGGGGTTCTTTTGTAGAACCCTTTTGTTCCAGTATTTCTTGTGTCCTTTCAGTTAACCTATGCTCTACAAACATTTATATATTTAATCTTTAGAAAAAGGCAAGATGATAGTCTATCTTACCACTCTTCTTTACCTGTTTTACTCTCCTGCATACTTAGTATCTCGCTAAACTTTAAAATGGAATGTGAGAAAATGTATTTTTATTCATGCACAATTGTGCATATTTTAAAAAAATAATATAATGGTTTATTTTTACACCATTTTGTGCATTTTCCCATCGCATTTGTAATCCCCATGGGGCGTTGCATATTTTAATATACAGAAAATCCAACTGTGCAACAACTACATACCACTTAAATAATCCCTGCTCCTAGATTAGGAACCACTGGTATTAGGAAGAGACCAGTAATAGTCAGTACTAATTTTGGCCTTTACTCAGCATCAGGCATTATTCTAAGCACTTTACCTTTATCTCACATAATCCACATCCTTCAAAGCCTTCTAGTTTCAATTTAAATGTTATCTCCTCAGAGAAGCCTTCCTTTATCCAAGTGGACCCAACGTGGACCCAACGTCCCCTTATTTCATTATTCCCTATCATTTCATCCTGTTTATTTCCTTCAGGACATGCAACCCTATAAGTAATGACTTACCTATTTGTCTACCTGCTTACCAATGTCTTCCCAACTAGTTATGAGCTTTGAAAGCAGGGACAGTCAGCTTGGCTCAGTGAGTATACCCAGTGACCAGTACTATGCTATAGTGACTGGCACAGGATAGCCATTCAGTTGGATATTTGTCAAACAAGTACATAATGAGCTAACTCCAACTGTATGTAGTAGACTCTAATACCTCTATAACAATGAGGAAAACTAAGACAGAGAGCACATCCCAAAGTTAATAAGTTACAAAGTTAGTTTGAAACCCAACTCTGTTTGACTCTAGTGCACAAGCTCTTCACTACCACTCTGATCTCAGAAATAGAAGGTCAGTACAAACCTGGCTGTGTGTGCTCTTGAGTAAGTCCCCTTTCCTCCCTGGAACTGTTCCTTCCTTTGAAAAGTGAGAAGGCAAAGTTAGCATCCTTCCTTCCCCTGATGTTCCTTGTTGGATGAGATTTGTGACCTATGAAAATGAAAGAGAGGACACTGCAGGGACAACAAGATTGCCCTGACAAGAGAGCTGATTTTCAGTTTGCATCCTTCCCTCCTCTTTCAGTGAAGATTTGCTGATCCTTATTCTATGCCAAGCACTATGTTGAACTTACCTTTGGATAGGGATCCAAACTCTTTTTTTTTTTTT